CTATCTGCTCTTCAGTAAGATGAAGGTGGAGAGTGTTGGCAAAATGTGTGTATAACAAGAAGTGAAATAAAGTCTCTTCTGTAAGTGGTGTCGGGAAAGCTGGACAACCGCAGGTGAATCAATGAAGTCAGAACACTCCCTCACACCATGCACAAAAATAAACTTGAAATGGCTTAAACTTACACATAAGACAAGACACCATAAATCTAGAAGAGAACATAGGCAAAACATTCTCTGACACAAATTGTAGCAATGTTCTCCTAGGTCAGTCTCCCAAGGCAATAGAAATAGAATCAAAAATAAACAAATGGGACCTAATCAAAGGAAAGCAAAGGAAACTATAAACAAAATGAAAAGACAACCTATGGAATGGGAGAAAATAACTGCAAACTATGCAACCGTCAAGAGCTTAATTTCCAGAATATACAAATAGCTTACACAACTCCATAGCAAAAAAAAAAAAACTCAATCAAAACATGGGCAGAAGACCTAAACAAAATTTCTCCAATGAAGACATACAGATGGCCAGTAGGCACATGAAAACATGCTCAATATCACTAAGTATCAGAGAAATGCAAATCAAAACCACAGTGAGGTATCAACTCACACCAGTCAGAATGGCCATCATTCAAAAGTCCACAAATGATAAATACTAGAGAGGGTGTGGAGAAAAGGCAATCCTCCTACACTGTTGGTGGGAATGTAGTTGGCACAGCCATTGTGGAAAACAGTATGGAGTTTCCTTAAAAAATGAAAAACAGACTTACCATATGATCCAGCAATCCCACTCCTGGACATAAATCTGGAGAAAACTTTAATCCGAAAAGATACATACACACCAACGTTCACAGCAACAGCCAAGACATGGAAGCAACCTAAATGTCCATCAACAGATGAATGAATAAAATAGTTGTGGTATATTTATACAATGGAATATTACTCAGCCATAAAGAATAATAAAATAATGCCATTTGCAGCAACATGGATGGACCTGGAGATTGTCATACTAAGTGAAGAAAGTTAGACAGAGAAAGACAAATATCATATGATACCACTTATATGTGGAATCTAAAAAAATGAAACAAATGAATTTATATATAAAAACAAAAACAGACTCATAGCTGTAGAAAACAAGCTAATGGTTACCAGGGAGAAAAGGAGGAGGAGGGATAAATTGAGAGTTTGGGATTTGAAGATGCTAACTACTATATATAAAATAGATAAACAAAGTCCTACTGTATAGCACAGGGAATATATTTCAATAATGAAAAAGAGTATGTCTATAACTGAATCACGATTTTGTACACCAGAGACTAACACAACACTGTAAATTGACTATACCTCAATAAAAAAGAAGAAGTGAAATAAGAACAGTTTTAGGCAGCATTTTCATTTTTCTGGTAGCAATGACCTACACCTGCATGTACCAGTTAGGAAATATGAATGACATCCCTGTGGTGATTCCACATCTGAGTTAAAGGCTCTTCTATGTGCATGTAAAAACTGTCATTGTATAATCTGAAGTTAAAGGTAAAAATCATGCTAATAAATAATATTTATTTACTTATTTTTATTTGGAAGAGCCTTACATAGCAAGTAAAAAAACACTATGACAAATTGGAGACCACAAAAGAAAGATAAAGGCCTTATATTTTAGTACCTTTAAGGACATCTTTCCTGCTTTTTTTGAACAAGGGGCCCCACACTTTCATTTTGTCTGGGGTCTTATAAATTACATAGCGGGCTGTGCCCACCGGCTAACTCCTTGGCGCTGCTTCTCGAGAGCCTCTCATTCAGCCTCGCTTCTCTTCCAGCCAGAAGAGTCTACAAGGAGGGGCTGGGGAGGCAGAAGGAGGGCTGCTGAGGTACTTTCAGCTGGGGCCTGACTACCTGGGGGCACTTCATTCCCCCAGAGGGTCCTCTGAAGCCTCCTGGCAACCGTGGTCAGGGCTGTCACCAGCTGAGAGGTTGGCCTGGCACCTCCCACCGCCCACTCCAGCCCCTTGTCCAGTATTTGCCAGACATCAGGCCTAAAAGGCAGTTCCGGCCGGAGGAAAGGAAGATGAGCCTCCTCATCACGGAGGGGGGCTTTGCCAGCCAGCACTCAGGCCCAAGGACCGGCCTGGTGCTTTGTTTTGAATGGCAGGAGCAGAGCAGGGCTGTCATTTCTCCTCCTAGGATCAAAATCAGACAAATCTCCTATTTGGCTTACCAGGCAATAAGTGGATAACGCCAGTGAATGTCAGTGCAAATTACAGCTCCAGACGCCTGTTGTCAGCTTTGTGCTGCTTCTTGTCACTTTAATGCAAAGAGACAGCATGGAGCTGATAACAAGCCAGAAGGGTGGGGGATCGGAGGGGCTGGTGGGGATGGGAACAATGCATATTGGAGAGATGCATTCAAGACAGCAAAAACTCACGGCAATGATTTCCTTGATTGCCTGTTGGAAAAGGAGCATTTAAGGGTGTTAGATACCTGGATGACAACTCGGGTATTTACAAAATGAGCAGCGACCTCACCTATTAATTCACCTACCCACCCACCCACCATCCCACCCATCCACCCACTCATCATTCATCCGTCCACTCATCCATTCATCCATTCACAAACCCACCCATCCATCCATCTATTCATCCACCCACCCACCTACACATCCATCTTCATCTGTTAATGAGAACTGGACTGGGCCTGTTGGCACACTGGAATTCTGAGAGGTTCATGAGGTCTCCATCTACTGCTTGCAGCCAGTTTCCCAAGGTTGCTTCTAAGAAGTTTGGAGAATTCTTGGGAGGAAACACCACTCCCCCTGGCAAAAAAAAAAGAAAAAAAAGGGGGGCTTTAGGGCCTTTTAATTTTGTCTAAAACAGCCTAGTTCAAAAAGTCCAGTTTTACTCAATTAAATTGCATCTTCTAAGCTAGTGCGTGGGTGTTACTGTTTCGGAGACACCCTCAGCCCAGAGATAAGATCTTCCCCTCCCAGCTGGCTAAAGAAAGAAGTCTTGCATTTGGAGAGCCAGAATTTGGGTGTGTCCAACTGTCTTGAAGCCTCTGAGGGTCAGCTTCCTTTAATATGCAGTCTCACTGTATCTCCACCCACGTTACACATTTGAGGAACAGATGCATCAAAACAAGAAGCCAGGCCTTACTCCAGCTGTGCCTGTGCTGGCAAGCTAGTACCTAAGGAATTAGAAAAGGGACCAAGGAGGTAATTATATGGGGTACACATCTTGCATATCTTCTTAGGTTCCTCAATGACTGTTCCCTTGGGTGGGAGGGTATAGCTCAGTGGTAGAGTGCATGCCTAGCATACACAAGGTCCTGGGTTCAATCCCCAGCACCTCTATTAAAAATAAATAAGTAAATGAACCTAATCAACCCCCATTCCCTCCCAAAAATGACTGTTCTCTCTCTTGGCTGGTGTCCCACCTGTTCCCGGATGCCCCCCACTTTTGAACTCAGATGAGATTCCTCACCACTGGGCATGGAATCTGGCTTCCATGAGCAGTCATCAGGGGCTGGAAAATACAAAGGAGCTGACTCCCCGTGGGGTAAAGGTTAACGCAGGAGATAGAAGGTGGGAGCAGGACAGATAAATTCCTCCACTTTCCATTCTCCTGTAAACAACACTGGATTGTGACTTCTTTTTGCAACCTTCTAGAGAAGCTCCATGCTAAGTCACCCTGGGGCCCCCTCACTTCTCAGGGTGGGCTCACAGTGAAACAAGGCCATCACAGTCAGGTGTTACATGACATCATATGGCTTCTTGTCTCGCTTCCTTTGTTTCCCTCTGGGGGCACATTCTAACCAAATTATTAGAACCTTAATCCTTGTTTAGGGTTCACTTTCTGGAAGACCTGGATCAACGCAATAAACAACATTTGTTTAACACCTGCTATGTGCCTCCAGGTGCCTTGAATTCATTCAAAACTGATTAGGGAACTGGGAAAACTCATTCAGGAGAGCAGAACATGGATCCCAAGGTCACCTAGAAGAGCAGAAGCAGAGTGGGAATGAAACTGTTGAAACCGAGTGAAAAAAAAAATAGCTAGTGAGAAAAAGAAGACGGGGGAGCTTAGTGGAGATGGGGTGGCCTCAGAGCCGCTGGAGCCCAGTGAAGAAAAGAGAGGCTTCTGTATTCCTTGAGACTTTTGATCAAGATGCCAGGTCCCCAGCTTGGTTCCCAAATTGGGCAAGATGTCCATTTTGGGGACTGAGCTTATGCAATGAGTCAGTGTCGTCCTCACAGCAGAAGTACTTAAAGAGTGCAGGACGGACAGCTTTCATACCACTATCCTAGTTATCTATAGCTGCAGAACAAATCACCCCAAAACTCAGTGCTTTAAAATAATAGCACACATTGTCAGGAGTTCTGATTTTAGCCACTGTGGTGTACATGAGGCAGGGTCTCACTGTGGTTTTGACCTGCGTTTTCCTCACGAGTGGTGACACGGACCATCATTTCATATTCTTGTTCTCATTTGGGTCTCTTTCTCATGAAGTGCCTGGTCAAGTCTTTTGCCCATTTTCTCCTGGTGGACTGTCTGTCTATCAATTGATGGCCCTCAGTTACATATCCTAGATTAGAGTCTTTTGTCAGATAAACAAATGGCAAATGTTTATCCCCTCAAAAAAAAAAAACTTAAAACCAAACCAAACCAAAACAAACAAACAAAAAACAATCCCAACAGTCAAACATCATCATCTCAGTTTCTGTGGGTCAGGGATTCGGGAGCAGCCTGGCTCCGCGGATAGGGCTGTGATCTCTCACGAAGTTACGGTCAGGTGTTGGTAGGGCTGTGTAGTCCAGTGGAGGTCTGTGTAGAGCTGGAGGGTCTAGTTCCAAGACCGTTTGCTCACGTGGCTGCTGGCAGGAGGCCATAGTTACCCTCCATGAGGACCTCTCCCCAGGGCTCCTTAAGTGTTCTCATGACATGGTGGCTGGTGATCCAGGAGACCAAAGCAGAAGCTACAATGCCCTTTAAGATTTAGTTTCTGAAGTCACACATTCTTCTCTGCATCCTACTCCACTGATCACACAAAAAGCCCTGAGTCAAGGCAGGGAGAGCACATTTCAGGGCACGGAGACTAAGAGGTGAGGACCTCATGGGGAGGAGGAGCATTTTTGGAGACTGGACCATAACAGCATCCTGGAACATAAGAGCTGGGAGAGTTCTTAGAGCTCATCTGTTTCAACATCCTCATTCAACAGCTGAGGAAACCAAAGATCAGAGACATTAAGCAACTTGCTCCAGGTCACTCAGTGAATCATCTGTTCACACTAAGGTGCCTGCAGGAAGCCCATTCTTTGAGGCCATGTAAGACTCATAGCCCAGGGTCACTACGCTGATGAAGGCAGTCAGAGGGGATGCTTTAACTCAGAGTGGATGAATGAATCCAGGGCCAAGCTGATTACAACAGTTCATTCATTCATTCAAAATGTATTTCTCGAGTGCTTTCTTCACACCTGGCACTGTTCTGGGCACTGGTACACAAAAACACCCTCCTGTTCTCATGGGCCTTACAGTGTAGTGGGAAAGACGGCAAGCATCCCACTGATAAAGCAACTATGACAACCATGGCAAGTGCTTTGAGGAGGAGGTTGGAGCACTGCACAAACACAGAATATTGAGTTTGTTCCAGCCGGGGCGGCATCTCTCAGGAAGTGATGATTCAATGATCATTTGACAGCCTGAAAGTGAGTTCTACCATCAACGAGATGATTTTTGTTCACTATTTGTTTTTCAGACATTATGTTTCCACCTCCAGATGTTCCATTTCAGTTTTCTTTTATATCTTCTATTTCTCTAATAGTCAACTTCATGTTTTTCTTTAACATCCTTGAATATATTTATAAGATTGATAATAGCGATTTTAATATCCTTGCTTGCTAGTTCCATCATCTCTGCTATTTTGGGGTCTACTTCTGTTTTTCCATCCTGGTTATAAGTCATATTTTCCTGCTGTCTTGCACGCCTAGTAATTCTCTATGGGATGCTAGGTCATGCACATTTTACAGTGCTAGGTATCAGATTTTGTTTTATTCCTTGAGAGAGTGTTGGATTTTGCTCTGGCATACAGTTCCTAGGAAACAGTTTAATCTTTTCAGGGCTTGCTTTGCAGCTTTGCTATACTATGCCCTGAACAACCTTTAGTCTAGGACTAATCTTACCCTGTTATTAA